TAACAAAGGATATAAAATTCTTGTATCAATAAGAAGTTGCTTCATAGTGTTAATAGTGCCCACCTCACTAGGGCAAGCGGGAGAGTTCTTTAGGACTTACTGATGGCTGCTTGTCTGTTCAACACCATTCGCACGTCCAAAAAGAAAAGACAGGCATTTACATGCTGCATATCATACGTGCGTTGGGAGGCAGCCCATCTTCTGTCTCTACGCCCTTGGTATATGTATATACGACACCAACTTACGTAGCTGTCACCCTATAGATAAGGCACAGACCTGGAGAATCTGACGCCGTCCACTTAGATCTTGCAGATATGAGTGGCATGCATGTTACTGAAGTTAATGGGGAAGTGGACTTTAGCCGCATTCCGGACCGTTCAAGAAGGATGAGAGGCAGTATGAATAGAATAGAGACTGACAGAAACAAAGCTTAGATCCGGACAAATCTTTGGGTGAAAGAATTTGATAGACATTGGTGATCTTTCAAGATATCTGTAAGATACGGTCGCCAGAGCCAAATCTGCTGGCCATGGGTAAGAAAGAGACACTGGGTCTGAGAAAAGCTGCATCGCTAGAGAGAAATGGACGAGAAACTAATATAATCATATGGACTGTTTGTTCTTAAAGTGACCAGCGGTAGGTATTGGTAGAGAAGCCGACCATGAAACTAAAGAAACATTACTTAGACATGCTCGCAGGCAGCCTCAGTCACGAATTCAGACGTAGTCCACCGACCACAAAATACAGACCAAAATTGCAGGCCGCCCAGTTTGCGAAAATGAGATCTTGCAAGAAGTTTCCATGCCAAAGTTTGCCAAGCAACGACTCTTGGTAGACTTTGGTCAAGTCCCGTCAGCAAGCGGAGGAATCACAAAAGAAGCCAGCTCTGCCCGCAAACCTCCATCGTGACCAATTCAACGGCAAGTACCCTCCATTAAGCTCTCGAGAATTAAACTCTAGGACTATGATCACAAGATGCCCAGAAAAGTCAATCGTTTTCAAGCCAAAGGTCTAAATCCCCTCTATACGGCAATTACCTCCTCGATTTGGCCTCGTATTTCCTGCCGCTGACCCAATAGCTGGGACGACTGGAATGCGGGAACCGTTGAAAGTCAGAACCGTCCAACGCTATTGAGGAGAGACAGTGAGAACGTGGCTAGAGGGTTTGGCACCGTTGCAGTCATGTCTGAGGCGCTGGCACGCTAGTCAAGACACCAGGAACGCGCTTTTACTGGAATGCTGATCAGTGCGCAAAGCGACGACATCTTAATGGAGATGTAAAAAGAACTTCTGAGGAGTAGTTTGGGATGAAGTGCATTGTTTACGACTGGTGAAAGATTGAATTGGTGGCGGACTTTTTTTGGCCGTATTGCAACCAGTATGCAAGGCACGAATTTCAATTAACTGTTCACCCTTTTCACCGTAGAAAAATGGCACAGACGTAGATGGGCTTTGTGTCAACTGCCGTGTCAGTTCAGTGTTACCTGGGCGTCATGATCACGAAGATTATACGAGATGCATCTTGGTAAAGAATTATCGTTCAAGGAAAATCCCGTCAAATGGGATACGTAGGGTAAACTCCAAACCCCGTATCGCAAGACTCTAACCCGCAAGGCTCTCCAGTGAACCTGCCAAACAAAATCTCGGGGCATGGCTCAATACCCTAAATCTCCAGCCTCAAGTGAATGACACTTGAGGCCCGACAGAATAGAGTATTGGAGGCTTGCTTACCCGATGTGACACAACACTTCTTGCTCCCATCCGGTGAATCCGCTCTCTGGTGGCTTTTTTGCCTTCTCAGCTACCCAATGTTGTAAGACTTGGGTCAGCGTGCAGAAGGACGGTGAAAAATACGTCTACTAAAGGTATGCAGTGCTGTAATGCATCGGATGTCGGGGGGTATAATGACGGCATGGATATAAGTCTGTTGGAGGAGTAGCTCAGCATGGCCAAATGGGCTTACGTTAGGGCAACACAGTCATTGGACAATGCCGTAAGATGCTTACTGCACGTGGGTCGTGTCGATTTCAGGCAATATGTTGAGAGAGTCTGACTGCAGATCAGGCGTTTTTCTAAAGGTATGGACTTGTGTGATTACTCTGGTAGGCATCATGGACTACGGCGGGTAAACAGCTGCACGACGTAGCTGCCGGTGAATGATCTGATTGTGTCGTGATAAAAACAGAGCGCCATGTGAAAAAAGCAACACTGAGCTGAAAAGTCAATTACCAAAGATGTTAGTGATAAACATGGCATTGCAGGAGACAAGGCTCGCTCGGACCCAGACAAACATGCATCATCCTTTGAGCTCTACATGGATTAGGCGTTCAGCCCTGAAAAAGAGAGAATCAGCCGTAAAAAAACAACTCACAGTGGCCGTCATCAGCTGACCTGTATAGCCAAGGATTCTGCAGTTGTGGCATAACAACTATTGTCTGCAGGCGTTAATAAAGTTACCAGACATTAACAAAATCTCGTTAAAGCAAACATTACAGGGGAAAGGACACAAGAGTTGGGGAGGGGGCCAGCCTCTCGTGTTCTGGGGGGACCAATTGAAAGTCATGGCGCCCTGGATCGTCACAACGGGCGGATAGTTTTTCCCAGGTTCGATCAGCCATTCCCCGCAAATAAGCGGCGGTAAACTTTGTTTCTCGTGCCGTGATGTATTTCTTGATGGGCGTTTTTCTTCTCTCCTGATGCTAAACCTGCAGGTGAGATTTGGGCCCAGCCAGGCTTAGCTGTAGCGATTGGAAATGCAACATGAACCAGGATTTTGTTTTCCCCGCAGCTGGGCCAGACCTGAAACGTCACGATTATTCAATGGAAATCTGCTCACCCCAAGGTGAAGTGTAATCGAGTAGAAACATCGCCGTCATGGTAAGGAAAGAGAACACAGACTACTGAAGTTAAAAATACCCGAGAAAAACACGATCGCAACGGTTCTAACCGAGAGAGTGTTAGTCAGGGAGTTATGCACGTTGGCAAGAATAGATTCTCCCGTGTGTGCACATGAGCAGCCAATGAGATACGCGGTTAACGGTCTGGACATCATGATCAACACTGAGCTAAAATCAGGCCAAGACTGTCCCCGCGATCGAGCTTATGGCACTAAGCTTTTGGGGAACAGGGGTCCCTTGTCTAGGACTTGAGCTGTAATTCGTGTGAGTTGGCGGGCCACGGCCACTATTGAAGCGACACGATGTTTTTTTCTTGTCTCTTGCGTCGGACCCTCGGGCGGGGTTGATGAAACGAAACGAAGCGAGACAAGGTCTGAGAAGAACAAGATCGACCGAGCATAGCAAACATCCCTTGCATATCGGCCATATCCAGCTATTTCCACCACCTTCCAATGCTTCTTGGCATACATACAAGGGCCCCTCGCCCTCCATCGGTTGTCGGAGACGGAACGGTCGGTCGATATCCCAATCTTCCCCCTCTTTAGGTGGACCACCAGCCAATACCAAGAAAAATGTGGCTGCATGCTTTTCTCTGACTGGTGCCAACCCCTCGCAGCAATGACATGTTTCTCTGTGGCTGCAGCTTCTGGCTATATTTACCAACAGCTGCTTTTCTGTTTCACCCATGCGTGGCTGCTCTGTCTACCAATCAATGCACTCCTCGTATGTGAAAATGTCCCCCTTTTTCCCGGGGCCTCGTATTTGAACAAGATCGGGTCTTTCCAGACTTGGCGAGCTTGGCCCCAATTGATGAGATTCGGATCTATGTACCTCCGCGCGCATACGCTTGTTTGTGCCGGGGACTGTTCAGCTTGTTGGCAAAAAACAAATACGGGAAGAGAATAGTCCTAGATCGCGGCTCCGAGACATCCAGGCCCTTGACAGGGATTCATGCTTGTCTCACCCAACCTCACCTCTTGATCGCGTCTATTTCCCTTTTGCCCCTGGTGAGTTGTCCGTGTGTGAGACCTAAGAATACTGTCTTCCCATCAACCTGCATTAGCCAGCCTTATGGGCAACTTATTTTTGCCTTGGTGCTTGCGCGGGGAATGGACCCAACTTGAGCCTCTCCTCCAACGAGATGTTGCAGCTTCAACACCATCTGCAACTGCAAGACCTCGTATTTCTCAATCGGTGTGTGATGCAGCCAGCGCATCCGCCCCGGGCGTGGAAAACGCCTTGTTGCGTCACAGCTGCCATTACTAAATCGTGACACTCACATGAATGAATGTATGCTGTGCTACTATCTATGGGAACACCACACCAGACTTTGGGTCCCATTCGGCTCGTCGCTCTCCGTTTTGTGATGGATTCAGCCGACCGTCCACTCACGGAGATTATCTAGCATGTCGCTGGAGCCTGACCCACCATTTCCAAGACACCCAGACGAGACAGAATTAGAAATCACGGCACAAAACGCTAATCTGGATCAATCACGGCACAAAACAATAGCCTGGATTAAGTTGTTACTATCAAAGTCTTATCCGGTCTAGAGCCGGCTCTGCCTTCACGTTACAACAAGTAAGCATAATGTTGGGCCTGCTCCATGTCCCGTGCTGTCATGGTTTGTCCTCAGCCCAACCTTGTCGTGCCCCTGTCCTGCTGTGTCTGTCTTCCCTGTTCCTCGGGCGTGGTATATGCAACCCCCCTGGGCCCGACAGCTGGCATCCACAGTTGAGGCTGGCCATGGCATGCATGTCACACTGCGAGAGGAGGATCCGGTCTAAGAGAGAATTTAGCTTTGGAACTATTGCCTTGGAGCATCATGTTTCCCAAAGTAGCATGAGCTGACTTCCTATCTTGATGCTGGGGTCATCTTGGCTGAGGATGGGCACCTAGCCATCAAGATCTCGTGTTCCATCTGCAGTCAGACATCTCCTACTTAAACCTCATGATATCCTCACCAAATCCGTTTCTGTCTCTTCACTCTCAAGTCAAGAAAGGCACCGGTCTCTCAACTCGACTGACCTCCTCCATTCGCTCCCCTTCTTTCGTTTTCACCCCAAACCACTTTCGCTGCTGAAAGGCCTGCAGTTGCCTATCATGCATATCAAGTACCTCCTCATCAATCTTTTCGCCCTGGCCGTCTCGGTCAAGGCCCTCCCCGATGCCGACAACGACTTCGGTCTTGAGGCTCGGGATGACTCCGACACTCTTGTCCAGCGCTGGGACTGTGGTCATGACGCCAAGGAAGTCTACGGCAAGTGTGTCTGCAACGACAAGCAGCTCACCTGGGACGGCAAGAAGTGTGTCTGCCCCAAGGATACCACCTGGCAGTATGGCAAATGTGTGCCTAACAAGCCCACTTGCCCCAAGCCTCAGGTCTACAACCCTCACTCCAAGAAGTGCGAGTGTCCCTCCGGTACTGAGTGGAAGTACGGAAAGTGCATCCCCAAGTGCCCCTATGGTCAGTCCTATGATAAGGACCAAGACAAGTGCGTCTGCCCTAAGGGCACTGAGTACAAGTACGGCAAATGTATCCCCAAGTGTCCCTATGGCCAATCCTACGACAAGGACCAGGGCAAGTGTGTTTGCCCCAAGGGAACTGAGTGGAAGTATGGCAAATGCATTCCCAAGTGCCCTGAGGGTCAGTCCTACAACCAGCACTCCGGCAAATGCGAATGCCCTGCTGGCACATCTTGGAAGTACGGCAAATGCGTGAAGGACTGCCCTAAGGGACAATCCTACGACTGGAAGACCAAGCAGTGCGTGTGCCCTGAGGGAACATCATGGAAGTACGGAAAGTGCATCAAGGACTGCCCCAAGGGACAGTACTACAACCAGCACAAGGACAAGTGCGAATGCAACAAGGGCACTGAGTGGAAGTATGGCCAGTGCGTGCCTGTCTGCCCCAAGGGACAGGAGTACAACAAGTGGTCTCACAAGTGCGAATGCCCCAAGGGAACCTCTTGGAAGTACGGAAAGTGCATCAAGGACTGCCCTAAGGGTCAGACCTACAACCCTCACTCCGATATGTGTGAGTGCCCCAAGGGAACTGAGTGGAAGTACGGCAAGTGTATCCCCAAGTGCTCCAACGGTCAGTACTTCGACAAGGACCAGTGGAAGTGCGTCTGCCCCAAGGGAAAGATCTTTGAGTACGGAAAGTGCGTCTGCCCCGAGAACCAGGTCGAGAAGTACGGCAAGTGTGTTTGCAAGGATGGCTTCAAGTTTGAGTACGGCAAGTGTGTCCCCGAGTGTCCTAAGGGCCAGACCTACAACAAGCACACCAAGAAGTGCGAGTGTCCCTCCGGCAAGGTTCTGAAGTACGGAAAGTGTGTCTGCCCCGACAACCAGGTTGAGAAGTATGGCAAGTGTGTCTGCAAGGACGGCTTCAAGTTTGAGTATGGCAAGTGTGTTCCCCAGTGCCCTCAAGGCCAGACATACGAGCACGGAAAGTGTGTCTGCCCCGCCGGCAAGGTCTACAACAAGTGGCACAAGAAGTGTGAGTGCCCTGAGGGCAAGGTCGAGGCCTACGGCAAGTGTGTCTGCCCCAAGGGACAGATCGAGCAGTACGGCAAGTGCTCGTGCCCCAAGGGCCAGTACTACGACCGCTGGAGCAAGTCTTGCAAGTGCCCCAAGGACCTGAGCTGGGACGGACACAAGTGCGCCTACGACTGCGGCAAGGATGCCGAGTACAAGTACGGCGGCTGCGTCTGCAAGAAGCACGACCAGGTCTTTGACAAGAAGTCCAAGACTTGCAGCTGCAAGCAGGGCTGGTACTGGGACCAGCACAAGGGCGCCTGCAAGAAGGGCGGTTACTAAAAGGTGTTGAATTTGGTGATAGATTGAGGGGGACAGATGCTTGGTGGAGGATAGCCTGTAAGAGGCTCTGATGATATTATGAGATTGCCTTCAGCTTTGGCTTTGGCTTGGACATAGCACGTTTACTTCGCTGGACATCTTCTTTACACTCCTTATATACTTTACTTCATAGTGGATAATACTTAAATCAAGGATATTGCGGATCACATCTTTTGCGTTTGCTTCAGTGACTTGACTCTTTTCACCATAGTCGACTCGAAGTTTAGTGACTCGATCAATGGAAGTACCGCTCAGCTCATACGATACTCAATTGGGTTTTAGTCTTGTAGAAGCTGGACTATGTTGGCCAACCTATTGCATGAGACAAGCAGTTACATTTGTATATCATTAATTTGTCTGTTGCTTTTCTTTTCCTCTTGGAAACCCCTGGAATTAGACGCAGGAGCAGCCAAAAGAAAGTCTGTGTGACTTGGCGCAGTTGGTTCTGCCTCGCCATGCAATCTTGCATGAAACTACAAAGGCTGAGTCTGTGTCAAAGGAAATGATTGGAGAAGAATAAATGAACTAATGCGGTTGCCTCGTTCTGCCTGGCAGCTGAAATCATCAGCATCGGAAGCGGGGTTGACAATTTTTATTCCTTTCAATCTCACATCTACGCACGCGGCCTAAGTCTTTGGCGTAGAAACACGTCTCTTGCTTCTTTGCTACGTAATATCAATTATTCCTTGTCGCTGGCCTTCTCTGCACACATTGACCTTACAACATGTCCGATCCGCTTTCCGTCGCGGGAAGCGCGGTCGGCATCATTTCGCTGGGCATACAGGTCTGCCAGGGTCTGATATCATACCTTCAATCTTTTGAAGGTCAAGATCAAGACATACAGGAAAGCCTCAACGACGTTCAAACCGTCGTATCAATTCTATACTCCCTGAAGGGCATCTTGCCAAAGGTTGACAAAACCTCCTCTGAAACACCAGCTATTCGTCGATGCTTGGCCGAGGCTGAAGAAAAGCTTCGTGAACTCCAGCAATTCTCGCTCAAACTTCGTGGCACGCAAGATCCAGAGCGCGATCTGCTGGGAAAGATAGATCATGCCGGACGCGCACTATTATATCCCTTTCGGGAAGGCAAACTGAAGTCACTCTGCCAGGCATTAAAGGGTTTGCTTCAAAATCTGAGTCTTGGTTTGAATATAACCTCACTGTATGTACTTTGACCTTCTCTTGGTTAAGTATCACGCTGAATAAACTGTTAGGGACATTGCAGTGAGAATCCAGACTAATGTTGATAACCTTGGAAATGCCTTCCAAGACCACGGCGCAAATGTGGCCAAGCTCTCTGACCAACTTCAACTCCGGGATAACAGCATGGAAGTTTACTATCAAGACTTGAAAACTGAAATATCTCAGGCTCAGCTATTCGCGCAAGAATTCCGACAAGAGATTGGTGGGCAGCTAAGGCTCATGAACACGGACATTGGCTCTCTTATGTCAATCAATCAACGCCACCAAGAAGATATCAACCAATGTTTTATGAAAGCTTTGGATGAGCTAAAAGAAAAGAACAACTTTCAAAACGAATTGATACGAGCAACGCTGGGCAGACATATCAGAGAGCCTTTTTATGACAACGCTGACAGAATCTTCTTAAAGGGTATGGATAGAATGTCTATTCAGAACGCCAGGTCGAGACAAGCTTCCGCTCTTGCAAGAACAAGGGATCCAAAGCGGTTGGCAAAAAACCCCCTTGACTGTACATGCAAGCGGCAGCATAAAGTTTCAGCATTGTCCTATCGAGTGTGGCATGCTACGTTCGAGTATGAACAGCATAGTCCTGGTCAGCATACACGTGGCTGCAGATATTTCGGAATTGACCAGTCGACAAAAACAATCGCCAGGGCACAGCTTCCATTCAAACTCTGGTCTCTATCTTCAAGACTCTTTCTCACATGTATCGAATATTCTCTCGGGACTACAACTCCTGGGATGTCTATTCGATATAAAAGTATGGTCCCGAGATCTCACAGTCTAGTCTATGATGTGTTGGATGAGCTTTCCGAATATATAAAAAGACGATCAACGCGCTCCACAGCAAATGAGATCTCATTGAGGTTTGCAGAAGCGGAGCATGCGATACTCTCTCTCTATAGAGATAGGAAGTCCTCTCCATACGATCAAGATGAAAGTGGAAAAAGTCACGCTCTGGTCAGTCGTATGGAACGTTCCTAATAACCCCCTCATCTGACCGATTCACAGCTAGCCCTGGAGATAGCACTCGACGCAATCAGAGACCGTCGGATGCGTTCAGACAAAACCATCGCTCAATTAACTCTTGATTCACTCGCGTTTTCGGCGAAGAGACTGATCAAAACACTTGTTAGTGCTGCTGGCGACGAAAATGGAAAATTGTAAGTGAAGAGTCAGGTTTCTAAATAAGAAAGGAAAGAGCTAATTTCTTGATCATAATGATAGCCCATCTATGTTTTTCCCAGAACTTTTACTAGATGAGTGCAGGAGCCTAGCTCGGTTTTGCCCAACAATATTTCATATGCGTTTGTCAGTCATCGTATCTTACGTATGCCTCTTAGGGTATCGGCCTAGGGAGATATGGCCTTTACTAGATGGCGGTGAGCACAGTAAGTCCTGCGTAAAAGACCTGAATTTCTTCTCTAAGTAAATGATTCAATTACAGTTTTCGATCTTCACCCAATTATGCAGGCAATATTTCAAGAATCTGTCAACATGCTTGACATAGCTCTTACAAGGTCCCCAGAGGCCGTAACAGAGAAAATACTCGGCATGACGACTGTTCGACTCTGTGTATGTTGGCCAGAGGGCCTTCGAAAGCTTCTGCACACCAACGCTGTTGACGTGCTGGATGAAAGTGCTCTTGAAGTTGCTGTCAATGCGGATTGTATCGAATCCGTAGATCTGCTATTCAAAGCCGGATGCCCAGTTAACTATGGAGACAAAACAGAAAGTATCTTTCAGAGAGCTTCTGAACTATGCATGGATGTCATTGCTTCGAACCTAGCTAGAAGAAGATCAGAATTGCTTTCTCTAGCGCAACAGCAGCAGGTTGTTTGCCAAGATTTGGTACTTACCTCTGACATCCCAGATGACCAAGCAAGCTATCTTTGTTCATGCCTTGATAAGTCTGGCATCAGCATTCCCCTAGCACTGAGAGTTCCATCCTCCTATACAACAATCTACCACTTCCGAGGCACCTCAATTTACCATTATCCTATTCTTTTCAAAAATGGGTTTACACATCTATCGGCGCCTAATGCCTTTGGACTTTTACCGACCATGACGCAGCATCTGTTCCATGAGTCCCGTCGGATCGAGATCGGTTATGGAAATGTTGTGGAGGGTATGGATTGGGTAAAAAGCCAAAGAATAATGGAACAGACACCAAAAGACCCCTTTAATCTTGGACTTAATATCGGGGCTACTAGCTGGCATTATCTGTCGAGATATTGCTCTGATTTTCATCCCCCACTCAGATGCTTTTACCCTGGAAACGCAAAGGGCGTCCTCGGGGTTCCGTTATTTGACAACTGCCGATGCTGGTGTACCCCCCCGGGCAAGGGATGCACGCCATTGACAACAGGTTTGAAGGCGTACGTCAAGGACTTCAATAAACTAGAGTCAAATGTCTTATGCAGTTTCTTCCACACAGTCATTCTAGACACCGAAGAAGGTGATTCATACATAACAGGCTGGTGCAATGAAGTTATCCGATTTTTAACTTTCGAGGCTCTAGAAATGACCCATACTTGCTGTCAAGTAAGAGTAACAGCGCAATGAGTGGCGATGATGATTTTGCTGACCAAAAGTACAGTTCACTGTCATCGACAGGCCAGACATATCACCAGATAAATTTAATTTGCTCATGAATTGTGACCCAAGAAATTGGCAGAAGATCAGAAGTGATAAGCGTGAACAAGAGAACGCCGCCCTTCTGGAGCGCTTAATGGGAGAATTCATAGCATACATGATGCACATGAGACTATCTACAAGGTCTCTCGAGATATTCGTGAATGGCTATTGGCGGCAGCGCATGTCGAAAATCTATGCTGTTGACTCCAACGAGATCAAAGACATACAGAATTGCTTGGTCGGCATTAAGACCCGTAAGTGCAGCCGATTTAGGATTTCTATTCCATTAATAGTTGCTAACTTATCAGAAAGATGTGCTACCAAACAGGGTTAGAATTTTGCTTAGAAAGGACTTCAAACTTATTGAACCACAAAATCGAGAGTCAGAACCAGTGCCAGTTGACGAAACATCCAACGACGAGAAAGTAGAGTTGGTCGATGAATCTGGTGGAATTACTTCCTTGCCTGTGGTGTCGTTAGATCATGAAATGAAGTTTGTTAAGAAGTATTAGTTCAAGGGACAAACCTTCCTATTATGTATATCAACTTAGTACCAAGGAGACCAGAGACTATATAGTTTAAGTTTTGCAACTCAGAATAACCTACTACCTATTATGATTTTTATCGTGGCAAGATTGACCATCAGTCTTTATATAAAGAACCTAAAAGATTTAAAAACTATAGGTAGTTTGCCTGTTTATAAAATAAGTAAAGACCAATCAACCTTAACTGAATGGTATATAGGTTGTAGTCCAGCTTGAGGCTGAGTAGGAAGTCCTAATAAAAGTAAATGTATTTGGGTTGGGACGGATAAAAAGACTTCAGGTCTGTTATTTATTGCGAAGAAAAACAGATAGGATACAATCAAGGTCAACTTTGTCTGAAACGGTGGCGAATTGTGATAATTATCATTATGTCTTGTTGCCTGTTATGCCGTCTATTCGAAGTGATCTATGGGGATGACTGCCGCCTAAAAGGTTAACCTTTAGGCTGTAAATACAGGTGACGAATAAGAATACGATATATTTTTCCTTAATATAAGTTTTTACCTAGAAGCTTTCACGATAACTATTATATCTTGCTGCAAGCCCTAGGGCTTTGTAACGGGAAGAGACCAAGAGGTATATAAAATTCGAAGTGATCAATCTGCCTATATCTACTTGTCCTGATATCAAGTGAACTATTCGTAATCAAAGTTCCAGTGATACCGCGAGACAGAAATGGTCCAACTTTTAGAGACACTTGCCGTCAAAAGGATACCAGTAAAGGTCTCAGCTCAATCGACCATGCAACCAAAAAGTATCATTAGAATCGAAAGCCATCTCACAGTCTTCTAAGAGCAGTGGACGACACCATCACTGTGAGTGTGGCACTCCTTAGGAGCTTCCTTGGTAGCACTGGGCTTAGCAGACCCCGCCTTAGTAGGAGTCTCCTTCTCCTCAGCCTCACCAGTGCATCCCACACCAGGAGCAGCAATGTCGTAGGCGTAAACGTCAATGGCGAAGTACTGAAGAGCATCACTGTCGATGACGCTCTTGGAAGGGTCGGTCTTGGCGAGTTCGATGGCGTCGGCGTAGTCTTCGGCGAAGTGGTCGACGATATCCTCGCTGATGGTAGGGACGTGGAGGACGCGGTGGAGGAGATCAGTGGCCCAGAAGGTGTTGAGCTTGGATTGGGCGACGGTGTAGCCGAGACCGCAGACGGAGTTGAGGCTGCGGCGGATCTCGAAGGAGCGAGGGCAGATGACAGTCTCGGTGGTGGCGTTGTCACCTCGCCAGTGGCCAGCCCATTCTACAATTGTTAGTGACATACTCATATAGAGGCTATGGGATCAACTCACGATCCTGGGTAGCGCAGTTCTTGTCGGGGTCATCGCAACGGAACAGCATGCCTGCCTTGTTGGCGTTGATAACACGATCATACCAACCAATAGGCGTAGCAGTAGACCCGTTACCAAAGTACTTCTGCTTGAACTCAGACTCATTTCCCCATCGGAGGAGATGATCCTTTGCATGCTGAGCTAGCTGAACAGTCTCATCCAGAGCATCGGCCAACTGGCGACGGAGTGTCGCGTTGCAGGACTGGTGGATGGGATAGTCCTTGGTCCAGCCCTCAGACCAGTCGTACACGCTGTTGGTAGCGGTGGTCTTGGGGGCAGACTTTGTCGTGCTGGTCTCTGCGCGACCGAAGATGGGAGTGGCGGTTGCTGCTCCGAGGAGGAGTGCGACGGCGGTGGTCTTGAACATCATCTTGACGGTTGATTGGGGATGGAGAGTAGTAGCTCTGGGATTGGCGGATGAGGCTGAGAGGCTGAGGAAGCAAGTGTTATGCAGGAAGTATTAGGCGATATTTATACAGCTCTTCTGCGGTCCATCGTAGCATCCAAGTTCCCAGATTCTGGTAAGAACCAGCCATCCACTACTGAAAATCCTTCATACCCTTGTCTTGCCATGTCTCGTGGGGGCTCATACAAGGTTTGACGGTTGAACCGGTCGATGCATTAGCAAACAGAGCCCGTCAAGAGATTTTCCAGTGGCGTCATATCCAAACATTCAGCAAATCAGAACCCAGTAGTATTTGGTAAGGTTACTGCTAGTCTCGGTGTTTTCTGTCTTGACATGTCTATCAAGGTTCTTGTTCCCACTGCGCGGTAACTATCAAGGTATCTTGGCACTAACAGTCTGTGGATCGGGACCCAACGCTTATTCTCAATTAAGGTAAATAATATGCTTAACCCACCGCTGTAACCTTGTTGGTCAGCTACCTATGCTTGAATCTCTGCGTTGAGTCCCCCACGGAATATTCGATACTTTGTCTAATGGCGCGTGATCGGTGAGATCGTTTGCATGCATGGTGAGGCATTTTACACTGGTTCGGCTCGCGTTCCCCGACGAGTTCCTGCATGAGTTGATATTATTTGTGATTTTATACGCTGCTGCCATTCTATTCACGGTTTTGGTCCAGCTAGTTGCCCAACATCGCCGGCGTCGTGGTTGGGGGCCCACTATTGGCCAAGAAACCTTGAGGCTTCCAGGACCTCCAAAAAGGTCCTCATCAAGACTAGGTTTGGTCTTGACACGGAAGACTGGATGAAAACTGGCCGGATTAGGATATTTGAGCCTCATTTTCGTTTGACTGCATCTCCGGGTGGATGAGACATGTTTCGCCGACAACGCCACGGCATAGTTTCCCGTAGCTTCGGGTCAGCCGACCCCACGGCCAGACATGATCATTTCAAAGTCAGAACCACCACACACTTTTCACAATATCTTCAGTTGTACGAAACACAACCATCTCTTTTCTCTGTGAACAGTCAAATCACTGAAGCTGCATGCCCTCCTGACTTAACACTTCGCTATGCCTTCTCAAGATCACTAGGCCTCGCCCATAACCCCTCCGGCTCAGCACCTTTCGCAACCCTCAACAACTTCCTCTTCTCCCTCTGTTCATTATACGTATCCAACCACTCTTTCGAATGCCCAACCAGTGGTTCAATCTCACTATAAACAAGACTTGAATTCGCCCAGTCCAATAAATCCCTCACATACTCGATCTCTTCACCATCTCCCGCCAAACTATGAAACTTCCTCCCACGTCCCTTGCTCGCAACCCGCTGATCGTATTCCTGTCGTAGAGACTGAATATCGGGTAGAGATGTTTTTCCAGTGAGTACGCGAGCGAGAACCTGTGCTTGGAAGTCGAAAAGAGAAAAGGTTGCAGTGTAATATGGTACTCCAATGAAGGAGAGGGTTGGATCCTCGGTGTAGAATATGTCTTTGTGGAGGTTATGCACCATGTTTCCCTCAGACGTTATGAGAATATCTCGTGTTGCGTTGTTGGCGGATACATCGTCGCGATGATACTGTGCCAAGAAGGGATATGATGTTAGATAGCCGGTTGCCAAAACGACAGCATCAACATCGTCGACAGTGTTTCCGTCACTCAAAACAACTCGACTCTTCACTCCCTCAGATTTTTCATCCTTTTCCAGCACAAACCTCTCAATCCCTCCAACATGCTCAACGCTCCCAGGAAACATCGAAGGTGGTAGATCAAAGTCTCCGCCTCTAGTACTCTGAATAACCCTCTTCGCGGTCTCGCTTGTTTCACGGCAAACATCATACGCCGACGCACCCCCACCAACAACTAAAACCGTCTTCCCCTCAAACTGCTCCGGCCGACGATACTGTTTCGTATGGATAACATCATCGCCAAAGTGAGCTTTCCATTCAGCAAGACCAGGGGTATCCGGAATGCGAGGTAGGTTATAATGACCCGTTGCTACCACGACAGCATCGAATTTCCAATTGCGTTCGATGATTCTTGGCTTGCCGTTCCCCTTGAGGAGAGTTATTGTTCGGATATGCCAGTGGTTATCATCGTCGCTCTTTTTGACGTCTTCAACACGTGTATGGAAAACTGTTGCATTGTCGACGCCGAATTCCTTGCTGAGACCCTGGAGATAACTCTGTATAGTTTCATGACCCGTGATATCCTCAGTTCCCTTTGGCCATGGACCAAGATTGCTGTAGAGCAGACTTGTAGGGACGTTGTTTCGGAGACCGAAATAAGCGGGGCCGGGAGGAGAGAATGCGACGTCGAGATCGTTCCTGTCTTTTGCCTCGAGGGGATGAGCAGTGCTTCCGTCTTTGGTTCGGCTTGATGAGAACTGTCCTGGGAGTGAAGTCACATAGTCGCCGGCAGAGGGTTTCTCGCTGGGGTAGTCTGTAGTCGCTGCTCTGGGGTCGTAGTGCCATACTCCAGATGTGACGCCGGATCGCTCGAATACAGTGACATCGGCACCTTCTTTGAGGAGATATGCTGCTGCGCATATTCCGCTGACACCGGCGCCGATTACTGCCACTTTGATGTCGGGGCCGAAGTTGGTTGGCTCTTCCGGTGAAGGGGATCGATCACCATTGAGGAAAGGACTCATGGTTACAGTATCGGCAAGACTACCACTGCAAAAACGTAGTCGACTAATTAAAGATTGGCAATAATTTGGAGCAGTTGAATCAGTCGCTTTGGGATTGAGCGCTGAATATAAAACCGCTCAACACCACTCAATCAACACGGTTTGATCCGGAACATCCATCGAGTGTTACGATTATCGAGACATCTTGTCCGTTTTTGACTCCCTTATCTCCGTTTCAATAGTATACCTAATAATCTTGCCTTATTGTGTGCGTTCCGCGACCGTTGACAGGTCGATAAGCGTTCTGTATGGAACCGTTGAGCACGCCATATCGCGAATTATGTCACAAAGGGTATAGCCCAACACTGTAACATTTGACGTCAATCCCCAAGTTTATTGTGCAATAAACTACTATCGATAGCTTACTAATTCCTGATTGATTAATACGACCTCGTGACCGTGTTGAGGCTCAAGGCTGAGAGCTCTATATTTTTCAGCCTGTACAAGTAGAGCCCTACAGCCACCGGTGTCAAGTCTTTTTACAGCTTGGTGGGTGCATCATTAGGATGTATCAGAAATAAATCTAGACATTATCGACCTGCGCTTTTCTAACATCACCTTGGAGTTTAACCGGCTATAATAGGTTGGGATCACACACAAAGATGACTTGTGGCTGAGAGCTTAAATCAGCAGAGCGCTTGGAACCTAGATAATAGTAATCGAAGGCGCAGGTCTTGAGGACCAAGATATCGACTATGATTGCTTGAAGGGTATCTTCGCCTTAGTCTTACATTATCTTCAATAGCTTGTGCCTCCGCAATATTAGCAACTGGATCTAAGTTCTACTGAAACATCTTCAGGTTAACTCCATTCATCAGCTTCGGACAATATCCCAAATCCCGAAAAATATTCATGGGCTTCTGATAATCACCGTCGCCCGATCATATGTCCTAGGCCACTGTACTTGATCGCTGTGCCGCAAAGGATTCGCGGAGCCGAACTCTAGTCATCAGAAGTGCACGTAATGATTTCAACGACGGAACAGCTTTTCCGACTTACCTCCTCTCTAAACCCTAGATCGTAGAACCTCCTGCTATCCATAGCCAATTATTGCTCAATGCTTGCAACACCGGATCTCGCAGTTATTACATAAAATCCCTGTCCAGTATTTAACGTCAGCTTACCTAAAATTTCCAACTCCACCTATGGGATTCAGTATCAGCTTATATGCATCGCTAAGTCCAATTCTTCGTATACCGCATGCCCAATGCCAATCACGATGTTCTTATTCGACCTAAATGAGACAAGTCTTGATTTTCAGTTGACGAACTAACCTCAAATTCGGACCTCGGCAAAAAGTCTAGCTGTTTCCACGTCCCCCTCATCTATCATGAAGATCACCCTCGTGGAACTGGGGAAGCCCAATTCTTCTCCTTCTCATCGAACAAATCCAAAATGGCTTCAAAGTCTTCCGCAGTCGGTCCAAAGGCCTTGGTTGTATCAGCCCTCACTATAGGTCTCGGTGTTTTTCTCGCCCGCCCCGTTACTCGTGTCACGACCGTTCTCGGCTTCTTCCGCACTCCATCGTCCACTATCGTCTCGGATGCAGATTTTATAACCATTGACGACACAATTGTCTGCGAGGACGTGCATCTTCACTCTGGGCTGCTCTACACAGCGTGTGAAGACTCGTACGCGCCGCGGTTCTCGTGGTTCCCTGGTCTGGGCGTTCTGCACGATCCCCTCACGGCTAGCAAGTCGCGTGGGTCTATCCACGTCATAGACCCCAAGACGTTCAAGTCGAAAAGACTGGAGTTTGAGGGTTTTCAGGGACCGTTTATCACGCATGGTATTGATGTTATTGATGATCCTAAGGATAAGAATGGAGTTTATATTTTTGCCGTGAATCATCTCCCCAATCCCGAGTATCTTCAGCATATTGTTGATGGGAAGAAGGAGGCGTTTGGCGGAAACAAGGCTGCTTCTCAGATTGAGATCTTCCATCATCGCGTTGGGTCTTCTTCGGTCAAGTATGTTCGATCCATCAGCCATCCTTTGATCCAGACTCCAAACGACATTGTTGCTCTGTCCCCGACAAGCTTTTATGTCACGAACGATCACCAATATCGTGAGGGTCTTATGCGACAGGTTGAGGATATGTACTATGGTGCGAAATGGTCAAACACGATTTATGTCGAAATCACCGATACTGCCTCCAAGGACTCAACAGCCGGGTTCAGTGCTTCCGTCGCTCTGACAGGCCTCCATAACAACAACGGCCTCGGCCACGGGAAAACTCCCAACGAAATCGCCATTGGCAGTGCAGCCAGCGGAGACGTCCATATATCCACCGTCAGGCCAGACCATACCATCCAAGTCCTAGAAACTATCCCATTCGACACGGCCGTCGACAACCCCTTCTACTACAGCGATAAGTTTGCTAGTGGAGATAACGACAGCAGTGGCTATGTCTCGGCTGGTCTTTCAAAGGCCTGTGAGCTTGCAAACAGCATTGGCATCGACACTGCCACTGAACCAGTAACGGTATGGCTTGCTCAGCGAAAGAATGGAAAGTGGGAGAACAAGATCCTGTTTGAAGATGATGGAAAGAGACTGAGATCTGCGGCCACAGCTGTGTTGATTGGAATTGATCCAAAGCTTGAGGGGGGTAAGAAGAAGGGTTGGTTGTTTGTCACTGGGTTTTATTCACAGCATATTGCTGCTGTCAAGGTCGATCTATGATGCACACAAATATGGTGGTGGCAATGTATGATGAACCTAGTAGAAGTTAGTGGGCGAGCTTTGATAAATCAAATACTGTTTGCACTAGGAATTTGATTTCAAGACGGACAATCGTCACGGGCTACGGAAACTTGCCAAAGGCCGGCATATATACACAAGCGTCATGGCCAAAGGCACATTACGTCATCCATAATCCAGCAGAACATAGATATAAATCCAAAATCTTGAAGAGTGAACCTGCCAATTCCAACACTACCAAGTACTATTTGCACAAACATGTCGACAGTTCAAATCATCTCTATCTCCATTGCATTGATGGCGTCAGGTGGAATCGCAACCCTGACATTCTTCGACGTCCCGGAGCTTCAATCTCAGCCTGCCTCACGTTCTCTACCTTCTATCCGATGGCTGTTCAGTCGCGGGTCACATGTCTTCCCATCAGCCTCACTTCTGTCAACCATCGGCTTTATCTACTCAGCATCTTCCAATAACTTCACAGGCTCTGGATCCCTCTTCGCCTTCTCAAAAAACAGTCCCAAAACCAACACATTCTTAACCGCTGCGGCTCTAACATTTAGCATCGCACCGTTTACTCAACTCATGATTCCGACAAACTTTGCTCTTATTGAGGAGAATAATAGACTCGGTGGAGCGAGAAGTGAGAAAGCGGCTGAGGGTAGTGCATCGACTGATAGAAGTGCTTGGGAGTCTGTAAAAGGAACGGATGAAGGCTTTGAGTTCGCAGACTTGAGTGGTCCTCAGGAACAAACGGGGAGGGACTCCACGGCAGAGGAAGATAGAAAGGTTCATGAGTTGCTGCAGAGGTTTCGGTGGTTAAACCTCGTGAGGGCTGTTCTCATCGGGGCTGGAGGGGTTGTTGGTCTCTATGCTGCTATCAACTAACGACTGGCAAGCGTAATTGATCACCATCTACCTCATTTTGTCTCGGCCTCCCTAAATTTGAAAGGTATTGTCTACTATCTTACGTGCAGGATTGAGGCGTGAAAAGACCATAAAATCAAGACATAGACTCTCAAACTACCAAGACCCCATTAGCTGGCATCATACTAAACACAAAAACATAAATTTACACCGCAAAAGCCAGGAATATAGGTTTCACTCCAGCCACCAACTGAAACGCCAACCGTAAGCGTTGTGGTGCCACCAATTCATATCACTTAGGCAGGACAGCCTTTCCAGCGGCTCGAGCCGCCTCCAGAGCACCAAGCAGACCATACTGAGAATAGACACCGTCGATCCGCTGAGTCGAGTTGAGGTTCTTAACAACCACAATCTGGAAGCAGGTAGCCGAACCTTGACGAGATGCGATGGTGGAATAAGCCAGGAAAATCTCCCAGACCTACTCCAGTCAGCTATTTCATCATATAGAGTTTATGGGGATGCATACTCGGAACCATCGAACGCCATATTTGGCTTTGACCTTTTCGGCATTTCCAAGCCAGTTTCTGTACCATCGCCAAATAGTGCCGGAATAATGAACGCCAACAGTGTCAACACTGAACCAGTTAGTAGATACCTTCAAAAACGTCAGATCACGTACCTCTTGACCTCGAATCCAGCGCTTTCCAGACATCCAACGTAAAACGACAACGGCGTCGATGCATCAGCACCAGGAAAGATATACTTGTTCAGAAACAAACCCCAAATGAAATCCTCATACTGCCACGCCTTGCGCAATCCCGACAGCTGCACATACATGGCCCCATCATCCTCCAGCATCTCATAACACTGCCGAAAGAACCCCGTCAAGCGCCTCACGCCAACATGCTCCGCCATCTCAAGCTGTGTGATCTTGTCAAATTTTTGCTCCGGAATATCGCGATAATCACAGCATAAAAGCCGGCTCTGCTCCTCGCCAACACCAGCTTTTCTCAACCCATCGTTTCCCCACTCAACCTGATTTCTTGCCAGAGTTACACCCGTGACATGTGCGCCGTAGTTCAAGCTGGCGAATTTGGCCAAGGTGCCCCATCCGCAGCCAATGTCGAGAACGCGGTCGCCGGGCTTGATGTTGATTTTCTCGCAGACGATGGCGAGTTTGTTATCTTGCATTTCCTCAAGCGTTTCCTCGCGATCGGGGTCTGAAATGATTCCAGAGGTGTAGATCATGCGTGGGCCGAGGAACCAAGCGTAATGATCATTTCCACTATCGTAATTGGTGCGAACTTGCTCCTCGTCCTGCGAGCGCAAGTGAAGAATGACATCGGGGAAAAAATTGAATAGAAGATAATTAAATGTCTCGCTGGTGAAATTAAACGTCGCCCAATCATGGCGATACTCAAGTATCTCGAGGGCGTCGGCGTTGAGATCGACTTGGCCTGTGAAATAAAGTTCAAAGAATTTATTCATGGGGACTTTATGGCGGCCTGTGTATCGCGCGCGAAGCTGATCCGTTTTGAAGGTGAGGTAGAACTCGATCGGTCGGCCAGGAAGACGGACTTTATCATTGATTCGCGGGCTCAATTTGGACATGAAAGTCCAAATGATGATTAATACAGGGACCGTGGTGAAGATGGCGAGGAAAAGAGCAAGTTTGAGACCGCCGCCGAGTTTCCATGATAGCCATTGGGGAACGCTGTAGAGAGCGACGCCGAGGAAGAGGTTGGACCATTGTTCGTATCCGGGGCCGTCGGCGGGGAGCGGAGCGTTTTTGATAGCGGGAGACTATTCGCAGTGATTAGCAGATATGACATGATGGACACAAATCCGTGCGAGGACTTGCATTGGTCAAAGGCACGCCCGGATTCTTGCCGGTCGAGAGCACGTCAGCGGGCGCTTTGGGTGTCGCGATGAAGTCAATGTCGCTACTCAAATGAGCGCCTCCATTCTGCTTGAGGGCCATGGTCACAGACTCTTTCGTCCATATACGTGTGAGATGAAGGGAAGAAGAACGGATGATTAAACACGAGATTGAGCGGTCAAAGCAACCCTTTTAATCGCACGGCATGCTGAGCTGATACATCAAACCACCTCGAAAATGATGTGAGGCCCCGCTGCATCCGGGCCTCAGGACGTGCAATGCATCCCTGCCCAAAAGCGACAGGAGAAGCCAGAATGTAACCGAGATGAAGAGGGATATCATGAAATTGGGACGCGTAATTGGATGCCTCTGCAGACTGCAGTGTATTCTGGTGCCTATCAGAGTTATTCTGTAGCCTAATTTATTGGCGTCTGGGCATGCCACGCTGCGCTGTGCTGCAATTATCCCTGGTGTGACGTAGACGGACGGAAGATGTTCCCGGGCCCGAGACTGCAATTCTGGGGAGATTTGCACGTGCTTTTCTGCTGGTTTGGATGAGGCTGTGCCACTTTGGCCAGGGGGGCAGTTCAATAGGGAAATGTCAACGTGCCAAAGAAATACTCGCCGCTGCATTGTGTTGCACCCCCACGCGCAGACTTAGGAGACAACAGTCTCAGGGAGATAACTATGGAGTCAGGCTGGCACGCGGGAGATCGGCGCCAGGCACCGCGATTCTGTCACGCTGCGCTAAACTCTATTTTCAAACTTTGGTATCGAGTCACGAAAGCATCTGTCTGTAAAATGGAAGTGTATAACATCGCGAAATAATATTCAAAAAGTAAAAGAAATAGCTTGTCGTATGATAGACTTTACAGGCAAGGTTTGTACTGTTTATGCATCCAATAAGGCGATATATTCCCAGGTATAATGTAAATGTACCTGGGGTAGGTGGTTTTCTATCGAACAAATAATATATAGTATACCTAAACTAGAAGCAGTAAAATTAAGGATGCTCTGATTTTGAGCTATATCTTTGGATCAATATTGATAGTCTTTAATGCATTTTGCTATTGGCCACTCGAAAGTCTATATCCCAGTTTGAACCCTTTCTCGTTGTGAACGAAGTTTACTTCCTTTGCAACCAATGATCACGGCGACATCTAAAATCTACATATTGAAGAACTCACAACGGCATACCATGTATTAGACAAACTTTCACATCAACATTTTTCCCTTTCACAACGTTTTTTGCTTTTCTGAAATATACTATAAAAAGTCTAGCCTTCCCCCATTCCCTTTACAACATTCTTCCCCTGCAAGAAACTCGACATCTCCCATCACTTCAAAATGAACGAATCTCACCTGACTTCAGTGCAGACATTGTCCTGCACAAACGATCAACTCGACTACCTTTTCCATCATCTCATCCTTCCATCGAAGCTACCAGGACACGATGATGCTTTGGCATCAAACGAAGAATTCCTCATCAACTTCGTTATCCAGTCCCTCACACGCTTCGGGGAACTATCTGATGAAGCTGATGACCTTGTAACAAATCGTTGCATCGTCATGTTAAAGAACACACGGGATGCCCGAGATTCGAATGTCTATCTGGATTCCAGAAGTGTCCAGAACTCCTTCAAGAGACTTTCAGAGCAGGGTAAGTTTTGCTGCAAACTTTGACCAATCACACTACTGACTCATGAACAGTGGACGCCGCCTCAATGTATCATATCACGGAACAAAATGCAGGCTTAATCATCCGACGATTAGAGAGCTCATATTCCTTCGAGACATTTGAGCTCTCGCCTACCAACAGGGCAGCTATGGCGACGAAAGGTCGCCTTATTCGCGAGTTCCCTGCCACCGCGACAGAAGTCTCCGCCAAAGACTTCAACGATTCCTCCTTCCAAGAGGCCTTGGCTAAAACTCTTGTCAAGATGAGTCATCAGGCCGTAGCAGAAATGCAGCCCAAAGTGAAGAAAGCACAGCAGATGCACAATGAGGAGCGCGACACAACAGATCCTCGTATCGTCACCGAGCTGCTGACAAGCTTTCTGCGAGGTGCTGGGACACCTGCTGAGATCAAGGCCGTTCAGAAGAGAACGCGCGAGGAAGTTTCGTGGAATAACAGCAGAGATCCATGGACGAGATCTCCGTTGTGGCTTCTTCTTCGCGTGGGAGTCCAGCTCACCATGGCCCGCCATCCACAAGGATCACAGGAGTTGTACAAGCGCTT